CATGAGGGAGCGGAAGAGATGTGGGCCTGTGTTACAAATGGAGGTAGCCTCACGTTTGCTTCAGCTGCTGTAGCTGTAGGCCATGGGAAGGGGGTGGGGTTGTGATGTCCTGAAGAACCTGTGTAGCCTGCACTGCTAGTGGAGGCAACCTCACGCTAGCGTCTGCTACGGGAGCTGGGGGCCACTGAAAGGAAAAAAGGGGGTTAGAAGTAACAGGACGGAAATACTGAGATGTGAGGGCCTGTGTTGCAAGCGGAAGCAGCTTCACGCTTGCTTCGGCTGCTGTAGCTGTAGGCCGCGAGAAAGTGGAAGGGTTAGTGACATTTAGCGGGACAAGCTGAAATGCCTGGGTAGCCTGCGGTGTTGCCGACTTGGCAATTTGTTGCTAGATTTGGCAACATTAATAAGTTTCCGTTGAAAACGCATCTTTTCCTCTTGTTTTGGCCTTCCATCCACGCTAAAAATAAGGAGTCCAGGAAAACAGAGCTTTAAAAACGCTTTCTAGAGCGGATAAATTTGAAAATGCTGTTTTCACGTTGTAGAAACAGAAGCTTTTGAAAACGATGAAGCATTTTTAGTCGTGTAACGCATTGTACCAATAGACATGTTTATACCAGTAACGTTAATTTTGCAGTTATGTGCTATTCACTTTCACACTGTTGCTAAAGATATTTACTTTGCACGCTCTTCATATTACAGTCCTAAAAAGACGACAGAAAATTTACTCACGATTGCTGTCCTGCGGCAAAACATGAGGGCAGTTGCGTTTCAGATCAATTCTGAGTGAGCACGCCGTGTGCGCGTCAGTGGATGGTGAAATATTTCCGTAAATGAATTTATCCTGTCAGAAGAATTGCGTGAAACTTATTATGTCTGTTCCGTCTGTATCATCTCAGTGAGGTTTTTATACATGCACAGTAAGGCTAATGTAACGCTTTCAGACATTTCAGTGTGGATGATAAACTTTGGGGAAAAAAGGCTTTTTTTTATTAAATTTTTTTAAAAAATTGTTTAACATTCGTTTATGTCATAACGTCGTTTAACGAACTTTAGCCACGAAAAACCTGCTTTTAGCGACTTCACCTGAAATTTAATTAATTTGCAACGCGGCCTGCGCCGCTAGCGGAGGCAGCCTCAAACTCGTCTGCTACGAGAGCTGGAGGCCCGACTGCATACGACGCTGCGACCGGAAGAGCCGCGGTGAAAGGCTGAGCCGCAGCGGGAGGCGAGTGAGGCTTTGCTGCGGTGAGATCTGGGGCGCGGCCCAGGCTCGTTGAAGGCCTGCTGCTGCTGCGACCCAGCGCTCGAGGAGAGGAGAGCTTGTGCGGGACGATGGTGGTGTCGAGC